ATTTAGTAATACTGTTTTTCTTTCTGTATGAACATTTTCGTTATTATTATAACAGTGGAAGAATCTACTGATCCAAAGTGTTTGTCTAAAAAGCGACTCCAAAATTAAATATAACTAGTCATAAAATAATAATAGTGAAGAAAGTGTCATATAAAAATTTCTAAATATAACTTATAGCGAAATTATTCTAGTTTAATTTTTTTCTTTGAAAATTAGTTATGGATAGTAAATAACTGTTAAAGTGCCGAAGAGAATAGAAAGAGTTGCGTTATTAATCTGTTCAAAAGTTAATAACAGAATAAGGATAGAATAAGAAGAAAGTTACTTGACTGACGTTATTATTCTGTTCGAGAATTAATAACACAATAAGGATAGAATAAGAAGAAAGTTACTTGATTGGCATTTATATTCTGTTCGAGAATTAATAAAGAATAAAGATAGAATAAGAAGAAAGTTACTTGACTGACGTTTTTATTCTGTTCGAGAATTAATGATAGAATAAGAATAGAATAGAAAGAAAGTTACTTGATTGGCGTTCTTAATCTGATGGGAAGACAATGGATCACATCCTTTGGTGGCGTAATAGGCGAAAACAGTAATTCCAGCCAAGCATGTCAAGAACATAATCATTGACACAATAACAATGTTAAGGAGAATGGCACTGAAAATAATAAATGTATTAAATAAATTAAATTCATAGAAATATTTGAAATAAATGTATTTATTGATAATGACTCAATGTTTTACGCAAATATTGGATCGACTTTACCAAAAACGGCTTTATTTTCACGCTAGCAATTAACATTTATGTCAGGCAATAATTGACGCTTACTAAAAACAGGAACGTTATTTTCTGTTCATCATAAATCATTTTTTATTGGCTTTAGTTTTAAAAAATGATGAGTGAAATTTAGCAGCGTCTTTAATTTAATTAACACTAATTTCAGATTATTTACGCACTTGACGTCAAGCAATGGTTATCGAGATAATCTCGCACACAATGAACTAAGCTAAGTCTAGTAAGTCTTTGAACACTCCTCCATTGACTAAATGTTAGCTAATCTCCAAAACCATTACTGCAAAAGTTAGTTTGATCCTAACTAGGCGTCTAACCTCAGTGGCCTTGGGTCAGACATACCTATGTTTAGTAAGCATCAAGTGACTAGTGTACATAGTCTCGTAAACTATTACCATTCGGTTGTATCCTCAGTGAATTTTGTGGCCTTATGCCATACTAGGTTTAGTAAAAAATATGCATTTGGGTTTATATATCATCATAGCCAACCAAAGTACTTCAGACACTGTCTCATATCTAACAAGATTTCTCGAATATTCAGACAGGTAGATGTAAATAAATATACTGTTTAATAAATAAAAACAAAACATCTATTCAAATATGAGTATCCATTAAAAATAAAGTTTAAGCAAATAAATTAAAAATATATCCGATTTAATCTATTTCCAAAAAAATTGTCTAAAATGTTTACCTTAGGATACGAAACAGAGTAGATATATATATTTCAAGAATCAGGAAAGATATGTGTTCAAAAGCACTATTCAGGTTTTGTTCGATTAGAAGATCCTACGTGGCCGAGAGATCAAGGAACGTCAGATCTAATGACGGTTTCCCCCTAGGGATGGTAGGCTCGAATCCTGTCGGAGGGAGAATATTTTTCTAACAAGATTTCTCGAATATTCAGGCCGGTAGATGTAAATAAATAAATATACTGTTTAATCAATAAATAAAAACAGAGCATCTACTCAATGAGAGTATGCATTAAAAATAACGTTTAAACAATTTTTTTTTATTTATTTACACACACACACGTGCGCGCGCACGCGCGAAAAGGTTTTATTAAAATAGACGAATAAGGTCTATCTGTTTAATCTTCTTTATTAAATTTTTTTTTTTTTTTTTTTGCGTAAGAGTTGTCACATATCCGGATAAAATTTGTAGAGAAACTGCTCAAAATTCATTATGTTTTGGTTCGAGTACTTTCGACCATCCGTGATCATTAATAGTAAAACTGTAGCTACTAGTGTCTGCTGAAACAGTGTATAATGGGATTCTCTTAATAAGTTCGTAAATAAAGTGTAGTACAGAGTTTTCCTTAAAAGTTTCTTTAATATTATTTTTTTATTTCATCTAGGTTTTCCGTTAATATGAATTTCACCGATATATCGAGCATATATCATGTATTTGACAATATTGATGAAGATTTTGTTTTCAAAGCGAGTCGTGTAGAAATTTAATAAAGTAGGATCGAGAGGTGACACCATTGCTACGCCATCAAACTGTGTGTAAATACTATCATAATGTTCATATAAAGTATTTGTATTGTGAAGGATCGAAGAAGTTAACGTTGAATGCTTGGTTTAGCACTTGGCTACGAAGAATGTTTATGTATATTTTGTATTATTATTATTATTATTATTTCCTTTGATTTCTGGTGTGTACACATTTCTTTCCGGATCTTTCCCAGAGATCTAAGATTAGAAATGGTATCATGACATTTTCGACTGACCAATTTAAAAAAAAAAAAAACATATTTTACATAGGTAAGGTGTGAGCTGTACTCATAGGAACAATTTTTTGTATTTCTTTAAGGCATGGGCTTCCAGGAATCCCTTCAATGAGTCTACTGGAATCTTTTCCAACCAATTCGAGAGCTCCAACTGTAACAGGGATTGTTGATGTTCCTATGTGCTACATTTTTGAGATTTCGATTTCAAGGTCCTTGTATTTTGATAGCTTTTTGAAGATCTTCAAAGATACATTGCAGTCTGCAGGGACTGCCATATCAATAAAGAAGCACTTTTTTGTTTGCGGTTTCTAATGAATGTCTGGGCGGTTAGCTTTGATTGTTCTGTCTGTGTGTATTGTGTAGTCCCATAAAATTGAAGTGCAGATATTGGCCCACTCTGTCATGCCGGATTTTATATTCAGTGGGTGCCAATACTGTGCAACCTGATACAAGATGATCAATTGTTTCTGGATATTTATAACAGAATCTGCATTTTGGGCTAACACATTATTTAATATGTGTGCTTGATAATTTCTAGTTAACAAGAATTGTTACTCTGCACTAAGGACAAAATCTTTGGTTTCAGCTTTTAACCTTGCACTACCTAGCCACTGATGAGTACGGGATTTGTCTACATCAGCTTGCTTGGTACGAGCAGAGTATTGGCCATGAAGCGGTTTATCTTGCCATTATTTCTTTATCTGGTCAGTTCATTTGCTTTTGCTTTCTTTTTTAAGTATTTTGCCGTTTCAGTCGGTGTATTGTTCTTTACTTGCATTTCTTCACCCATTTGAAACTCCATTGTGAACTTGTTGGCTTCCTTTATTACAGTATAAAGACGCTTACTACTTTCATGTTCTTTGATGCATATCATCATCCAGTCTTCTATAGTTTCCAGGTATCTTTGAAGGCCAATTGTTGTAGTTTTGTAGGACAGTTCTAGTTAAATTAATCCCCTGCCCACTACGAATCTGAGCATATTATTATTATTTTTATTTTCTTTGATTTCTGACGTTTACACATTTCTTTCCGGGTCCCGCCCAGGGACCTAAGGTTAGAAATGGCGCCATGACACTTTCCACTGACAAAAAAAAAAAAAGAATTAAATTACATAGATAAAGCCCTTCGTAAGGTGTGGGCTGTACTTGTCAGAACAATTTTTTGTATCTCCTTGAGGCATGGACTTCCAGAAATCCCTTCAATTAGTCTACTGCAATCTTTTCCAACCAGTCCTAGGGCTCCAACTACAACAGGGATTGTTGATGTTCCCATGTGCCACATTTTCGAGATTTCTATTTCAAGGTCCTTGTACTTTGACAACTTTTTGAATATCTTCAAAGATACATTGCAGTCAGCAGGGACTGCCATATCAATCACAGGCTTTATTATTATTATTATTATTATTATTATTATATTCATTGTATTATTATATATATATATTATTATATGCATAGTTTCTTTGACAGGGATATTAATAAACAGACATTTAACATCTAATGAGGTAATGGTGCTGTTATTACGTTTATGTGAATGCAGTATTTAAAGAAATTCGCAAATGGATGTAGCGCTAAATTTATTTGGTAGGTACGGTGGTATCAGTTTGCTTAATGTTTAGATAAGTGATATACAGGTGTAGGAATTTGGGAAATTATGGGACGTGGAGATGACACAAGTTTATGTGCTTTTACATTCCAATATAATTAACCAGAATAACATGAACGTACAATTCTAAGGAGTTTGATGGGTCCGATTTCAGCGATGTAGACTATAATGTGTTTATTTATCTGTGTCTTGAGGAGGCTTCTAATATTTTTGTTTGATTTTTTTTAAAGCTTAGTTTGGATGCCGAGAATTGCCTTGTTTTGAATTGCTATCAATCCTGGTTAAAATAACAAAAATGTTATATTTATTTCCGAATTACAGTGTTTTTGTTTTTACTTGGTACTATATAAGCTTTCTTTAATGCTTTTTGGTTAAGAGTATGGTTCGTTTCCTGTAGTCATGTTTACTTTTTATACCTTTAGCCTAAAGCACATTTCATAATCCTGTGTGTGTAATTATTTCATTAACAGTCTTTCTTTAGTTGTAGGATGTTTACATATTATATATTGCTACTGTTACTGTTCTTAATAGTTTCAATGTTTACATTATTAAATTTTTTTCTGATTGATTACATCGTTTTTAAGGATCTGTGGTTGATTAATTGTTTCGTTTTTACGGCTTATCAATCTTTTGCAGGTTATTTAAAGACAGAAAATATTTTTAGATTATAAATTTTTTTTTTAAATAATAATGATTTACTGATACAAGTTCTACTAATTAACCCATAGATACGGGAAGAAGAGGTGGATTCATAACTTTCCCAAAAAGTATCTGCACGTAAAATTGAATATAACGAACCCGACTAGAATTAGGACTCGGCTCTCCGATTTCCAATTCTGAGCCTTTATCCATTACACCATCCGCACATCCATGCTTACAGCATCTGCTATTCCCAAGCAGTCACCCATCTAGTGACCAGGCTCGACGTCGCTTAACTTTGGTGATCGTACGAAAACCGGTATTTCAACATGATATGGCCATAAGCCAGATCTCATGGTAGATTATGTTCAGAGTCTATCTAATGAACACTTATCAGCCATTCACATTGATAAAAACTGAAAAAAAAAGTGATGGCTAAAAAGTCCTTTTAGTTTAACTGAAAATTACTGCAGCTGTAATTATTTTTATATAAAGGACGCTTTCTTCTCTTTCATCATTCCTGATAATTTTTAATAATCATCAAAAAGAAGTTACATCTTTTTTGATTTGTGTTTACAAATAACTTGCCTATTTTGTGTCCCTTAAATGTTGGATGCTAGAATGAATAATCGGCTAAATTTCATCTAAACAAAGCAAATACACGTTTAATGTAATTGCTTATGAAATTACTATCGCAACAATATCCAAGAATTAAAATAACAAATTTTGCACAACCTCGCTACAATAAATCGTTTAGATTATGTAAGTTGCAATAAGATTTTAAAGTAGGAGTTTAGTAATATATTTTATGCTTGATAAAAATATAACTTAAAAAAATCTATTCAAGATTACTCAGATGCATACATACGCTACAGACATCCACTGCCCAAAAAATAATAATAAATATGTATCATATTAAGGATTTGTAACATTTTTCAAATTCTTTTAACGTTGCTTACAGGTTTGTTCCGCCATATTTGTTTTCATGTTTGCTTTTGTGATATTTTATTTAAGAGAAACAAGAGTTTATTCTGTTTCTTAGTCGAAAGTTTTCTGAATTCCTTTTTATATTTTATACTTCCAATGACGTCAGACGCGAATAACTATTGCTCAATTCTTTAAACGTCGTCTTTTTGTTTTTTACTTCTTCTTAATTTTAAAGAGAATATACAAAAGAATGAAAAGAAAAAAAACACGAATAAATCTTTCATAAAACTTACTATCGCGCTTTTTTTAATGTTGGTAAAGCAGAATATCGTTGTACGCTCGCTTGACTGATTCCGAAGATTGCCATCCAACCAATGGCGGCTCCACACAGAAGGTTCCAGAATGTATGCCGAATGGTTGGATTTAAATGAAATCTGAAAATAAAAAGAATTAGATTTCAAGTAGTTTATATTATGAATATAATAACTGTGTTTCATGAGCTTACAGCGAAAACTTGGTTTTCAACCGTCTGTTCAGTTTCTAGTTTTCAATAGAGACCACTGGAAACTTTTGAACACATCTAATTTTTATCACTTCACACTAAGCAAATCAATAAAGTGTGAAAGAATATGAAAAAAAAAACATTATTAAGGAGAGAGGACAATAAAACAACAGAAATTATGACAGAAGATAATGATTAACATTGCATTTAAATTTTTAAAAATAAAAGTTGACTAGGAAGAAAACAGCCGGAAGAGAGTTCCACAAGTGAGAAATGCGATAGAAGAAACTGCTAGCATAGAACTTACAGTTACATTTGGAAATTTCAATTGTAAAATGATGAGACTTTGCCGCCAATATAGCACTGCGCTTAAATTCGTAACGTCGAGATACTAAAGTTGAAAGCTCATCAGAATAAATACCATGAAAAGACACAAGTAAGCGACGTTACGCTGTATATATTATATGCCAAATATAGTCAAATATAAATAGGTATTGTCTCTGTTTCTGTCAGATTGCACAACTCACCTAACTTAACAATGGCCCGGGTTGTTAGGGAATGTATTTTTTTATCAAGTCGCTATCTATCCAGCGGTTGCCAACCAAGACTAGAGTGTTCAGTCGGCTCTGCTATTTAACCCAAGACAGATTCATACTTTTCCCAGGGGTATTGGCGCAAAAGAGTCTGTTAAAACAATGCATTTAGTTCCTAAATAAAGTGTAGTGCAGCGTTTTCCTGAAAGGTTTCTTTAATAATTTGTTTTATTTCATCTAGGTTTTCCGTTGATATAAATTTCACCGATATATCGAACATATATGTTTGTAGATATTAATAAAGATTTTGTTTTCTAAGCGAGTCATGTAGAAATTTGATAAAGTGGGAGCGAAAGGTGACACCATTGCTATACCGTCAAGCTGCGTGTAAATACTATCATAATGATCATAAAAGGTATTTTTATTTTGAAGGATAGAAGTTAACGTTGAATTCTTGCTTTAGTACTTGGTTACGAAGAATGTTTACGCATATTTTGTATTATTACTTTTATTATTATTATATATATATATATATATATATATATATATATATATATATATATATATATATATATATATATATATATATATTATTATATGTATAGTTTCTTTGATAGGGATATTAATAAACAGTCATTCAACATCTAATGAGGTAATGCTGTTATTAAGTTTATGTGAATGCAGTATTTAAAGAAATTCGCAAATGGATATAACGCCAAATTTATTTGGTAGGTACGGTAGTATCAGTTTGTTTAAAGTTTAGATAAGTGATATATCGTAGCTGATGGAAGAAAAGATAGATTCATACTTTTCCCAGGAGTATTGGTGCAAAAATTATAGTAACGAACTCGACTGGTACTCGAAATCGACACGCCAATTTTTTTTTATCAAGGCTGTTAACTGTTACTTTACGTGCACATCCGAACATAATCGAAAAACCGAATAATTATTAATGAAAATATTTAATTTTAAGTAATTTAAATCTGATTCAAAGAACAGTCGATTGGAAATATAAGGGAATAGGTAGGAGTTTGTACACTTTTATTCGACGAATTAAATATTCTAATTATTTAAACAGCAAATTTTATATCAGGGTGGCCAAATAATATATATACAGGCATATTGTATATGCCTAATGTAAGAGGCATGTTTAAAAAAAGCATTTAAAACTATTGTGCAGTCTAATGTATTCTCTTAGATGAACAGATTGGGATTGCCATATCTGAACATTCAAAAAGAATGAAATACTCAGACAGTTCTAGAAACCTTCGCCCGAAACATTTTTGCCGTAGAAAAACTCGCCTCGGTAATTTTCGCCGTAGAAAACTTTGCCAAATAGGATTTTTGCCGTAAGACAATTTCGCCGCATTTTTTTTTTTTTAATATGCGAAGTATCTTGTTATCAAGTATATCAGATTCACGCTATTGTTACTTCGATTTAAACATTTTAATAAGCGAAGTTATACTAACATGCACCCAAATTTGTGGAAACTAATTGCGTACTTGAAAAAGGTAGGGACATTAGCAAAAAAGAAAAAGTGTGATTTAGATCAAGGAGATGCAATACAAATGAAGAAATATATATTGATATCATTTTAAAATTAAGTAAAGATAGCGGAAATGCTTCATTGCAGTCCAGCGCAAAAAAAAACACATTATTTACGAAGCATTGCTTGGAATTTGCACACATTTTAAATTATTTCTTTGTTAATTTAATATATTTTTAGTCTTTTATTTTTTAAATGCTTATTTTTTCATTTCTTTTCTGATGTTTGACCCTGTAAAAAAGACGTCCATATATACTTGATAACAACGTACTTTGCATATTAAATTGAACATTACTCCATATAACACCATATGTAAAGAATCTAAGATGTGTCCACCTAATACTACCACTACAACTGGTGTCATTTAACAACATCCACAAATCAATATGCAGCCAGCCACCAAACAAAAATAAAAATGCGTACTACACACATGAACACAAACGCATAAACGAATATACAATATCATCTGAATCTCGCATAGACAAACTAGAACCATGATACACATATACTTTTTCACATGAACGCTGCTTAACAAAACAAATGCCTGTGAAATTATAAATGGTAGAATTTTTCATCTTTCTTTCCTTTTCTCCATATCTCATTCTCTGATGAAGTTTTAATAAAAGTGAAAGATGTTAAGTGTTAGTCGAGTAACAATGACGTCTAGTCCAAGGCCTTTCTATATCTAACGATGATTTTACGGGATTTTGAGCGAGGACTTTGGTAACGTCTTATATAGCGGGAAATATGGTATATTTTTCACAGGAAATATTTTATCAATTACAGTAAATACGAACTTTAAAAAATACATACTCATCAAAACGAATTCGACCCCATTTTTTATTAACTTCCCACACATGCTGAATTCCACCGACCATCACTGTCCCCTAAAAAAGAGAAAAATAAAAAATATTTTTAAAAATTCCCCATAGATGTAAAGATGATTTAATTAATTTTATAAATACAAACTGTAAAATAAATATTATTACTGGTGTGAACAAGCAATGCGTGAAAGACACATGACCAGTAGATAAAAGAGTTGGTTAAAGTAATCCAGTGGCTTGACCCAAAGCAAAGAGTTATGAGTTCAATACCAGGCCACAGTAGAGGTGAACAAAAATTTAAAGAGTTGTTTTTTGGGGGTTTTTTTAATCGGTATCACCCCAAGTAAGTCAGTAAAGCCACTAAGACACAGGGTGTGGGATAATTATGAACAGAAGCATTAATAGTGAGCGGGGAGAGAAAAGAGTAATCAGGAGGACAGTAGATACTAAAAGGGAAATAACTGAAACTGAGATATCCCAAAAAAAAAGGCATGGCACGTGGAACTAGAACAATCTACCCCAGTGGACTAAATAAAGGGTCCGGTTCGAAATTCCAATGTATATCACCTGAAGAAGGACAAGGCGTACAACAGCCAAAATGTTATGACAATAAAGATGAGGACAACAGACCGAACAATGTAAATAGTGTAAATAGTTACAATACCTTATCTCAGAAATATAGACAGATACACGGGGTGGGGGAAAATCAGAAAGTAGTCTTAAATTGTAATTAATTTTCTTTTTTTTCTCTTTGAAAGACCTTGGAGATTAATTTGTTTTAATTGTAGCTTAGTTGCTATCTTTACTTAATTTTATTTTTAGTTTAATATTCTGCAAGTATTGAAGACAGACAAAAAAAGTCAAAGAGGAGAACTTATTTCTTGATATGTGATACAATGCTTTTTTTTAATAATTTCACCCCAAGTAAAGCAACAAAGCCACTAAAACGCAGGAAATTACTAAGTGTGAAAGAATATAAAATAAAAAAAAAACATTATGAAGGAGTGAAAG